AAATTTAAACCTAATTGCCTTGAATCTTCTAAGAATGAGAAATTCGGGTTCCTCTCGCGTCTTCAGGTCTTCAATGGGTGCCTTGGTCGCAAAGTGTCTTCTTGAAAAGTCAGAAAAAGATAGCTGATTCGGAATTTGTCCTCTATTTATAGGATTCTCAAAACAGGGACAACTCGGGGAGTAGATACCCAACTCGCCGAGTTTCTTTGTAAAATCTATGTACGGCAAGGACTCTTCTTACTAATAGATAAATATTATATGCTAAAAATAATATTTGTTAATATATAATAATCAAATAAAAAAGAATTAATACAATAAAGAAGAAATTAAAAAAAATAAATTAAAAAAATAATAATAATAAAAGTAATATTTAATAATATATAAATATAATATATTAAAAATAATATTTATTAATATATAATAATCCAATCAAAAGAATTAACGCAATAAAAAAATTAAAAAAAATTAATTAAATGAATTTAATAATCCAAAAATGTAACACTTACTAATAGCTAAATATTATATGTTAAAAATAACATTTATTAATATATAATAATCCAATAAAAAAGAATTAATGCAATAAAGAAGAAATTCAAAAAAAAAATAATTAAAAAAATTAATAATAAAAAAGTAATATTTATTAATATATAAATAAAATATAATAAAAATAATATGTATTAATATATAATAATCCAATAAAAAATAATACAATAAGAAAAATATTAAAAAGAAAAAAATAATTAAAATAATTAATATATAATAATCCAACAAAATGAAAAAGAAAAATTGCATAATTGGTCCTTGTAGTTTGGTAAAAAGATAAAACTGCAGAAATGTTCCCAGGAGTAAATCCGTCATTTGCCAAAAGTTAACAGCCATGCTGTTAAACTTAACGTGGTTGGGACCAAACCGCAACAAAACCATCAAATATGGACCTTTTTTGCTAATAAACTTTTTTTTTTTTGACCTTATCCACAGAAATTGACAAACCACAGGGACCATTTTTGCAATTTTGTCTTTATGTAGAGTGGCATCATGTCTATACTACCGATGATGCATGTGATTGATTTAATAAATTGTGATTGATTTTTTAAATTATCTTTGATCAAAACCATTGTAAGCTAATGAGTTTCTGTGTGATTATCTAACAGATGAAATGGATATGTTTGTTTTTGTATTTTATTATGTTTATGCGTTAGAAAAGAAATTGGGCATAAAAATATGTTATTTTAGCCGGAAGTGGTAAAATATAAAGTTTGGTAAAATAAAGGAAACAGTAGAATTAAAACTGTGCAAAAAAAAATGTGATATATGGCAAGCTGAAATATATCTATTTAGTGGGCGGGGTAATGTGTAAAGTTTGAACTAATATTAGTTTCCAAAATTTAGGCGAAAAGAGGGGCATTTTTGGTATTTCAGTTTGTGTGAAAGGGGGTTGAGAAATTGACACGTAGGATATCAAGGTTTCGTTTATTAGATATAAACAGGAAGATTTCAATCTCGTAGGTATGTTGAAACCTACTAATTCGTTTCAAATAGCAACTCGCAATCACCCCTTTTATCTTAATAAACCATCGTCACTTTCCCGCCACGACAACGGCGACATGACCTATCATCGTTCTAGATCTCAGAACCGTCCACCGTCTCCATCAATGGCGAAACTTCACTCCAAACTCTCGTGAATTGTTTATCGCCATGATCAACTCAAGCTCTCATTCACTCACCTAAAATCTCAGATCAAAAACGGTTTGCTCGAGGTAATTCACTTCCAAAAACTTGACAATTTCAACGAATAAATATTTAGATTTCTTTACCTTTTTCGGATTTGTGTAGGCAGAAGACGTTTTCAGTTCGTTAGCTGTTCCATTGATGAAGCTCGTCGGTTTGAAAAGCGTTGAAATGGCTGAAGAAGGAAGATCAAGCACCATTATGAAGATCAGCTTACATACTCAAGTAATGTACCTGACAGTAGTGCTTGTATGCTTTTCCATTTCATGAGTAATGTAATTTATATCGTACGAATTCATATCTTTAATCTAAGTTTATTGAGGTGCTGCAGTCAGGATTATTAGAACTCTGCAATTGTATTACAGAAACAGGCGCACATATAACTAGTGTATTTCTATTGATCTGTGCATAGAAAATTTGTGTTAATTTCACGTTTCTTACTTGTGGCATCAAACAGGGAACTTGTGAAGACATGATTAGAGTTGACACGCATAAGGTATTGTCAACTGGCGAGAAGGAAAACACAATTCATAGACTGGAGGTACCTTTGTTCTTACAACGTAACTCAAATAGGCAAATCATGCTCGATCTGACACAATTTTACTTAAATTAGATTGATAAGTTGTTGCAAGAAATCCTCATTTGTTACTGTAACAATTTTTTCATTAGTCATTACACTATAGAAATAATTGTTAATGTATGTAAGTAGGAGATCTGATTTCATCGTTGATGCTATAATTGATATTGATGGCATAAATTCTAAATGTGTGAGTATCTTAGTTCCTATAATGCTTGGAGAAAAGCGTTAAACTTTACAAAGAAGATCGTCTTTCCAATTATTGATACAATAACTTCCGTTAGTCTTTTGCTTATATTTGCATTCAGCTACTATTCTTGCCACTTAAACATGTACTAGTGTTGCAAGTTTGCTGGAGAGGGGATATGTAGCATGTGTTCGTGTAGGTTATTGCTTTTAGGGATATACCAGAGGATGGTTATAACTTATAAATCTATATATCAGTAATTTTATGTAACCTGTACTTATCTATCAATTGAAAGAAACTATAATTGTTGGAAAGTGTTTTACTGTTAAAGAGACACTTAGTTCTTTTGATCTTTCATTATACATTCTTATGGATTGTTGTGCATGGGAAACCTACAGGAAGACTATACAAATAGCGCGATGACAGCAGGCAAAGAGATTATCCAGAAACAGAAATTGCAGCTTATGCAACTGCTGCAGCTTCTGAAACAAGTAGAGAGTTGTGTTAATTCTAGCCAGAAAAGCATGTTTCAGACAATTGATGACCACAAGGACAATATCAACACATTTATCCAAAAAGCTGCCAATTATGTATCCGCAATTCAACAGTCAAGCCATGATGGTAGGGCCTTCACCATCACACTTAAGCTCCTGAAAGCTATATATGAACATGTCTGTGCAGTCCTCAGCTCAGTTGAGGGTGGGGTGGACAATATGGTCAACAAATTAACTGATCAAATGGGTAAGCCAATGATTGAGTATGTTAAAAGCTTTAAGGCTGAAATGACAACAAGCACATGTCATCGTCTATTGGTTGCATTGGAGGATATGAGAAAAGTTGCAAGGGATAGAAGGGTAGAATTGGCACAAGCAAGAAAAAAGGTCAGAACAGCAGAAGAAAGGACACTTCAAGCATTAAGCAAGTTGAGAGAATCAGAAGAAAGAATGAAGAGAATGAGACAGATCAATGAAAGACATGAGTCTTCTCGTCATTATCCCAGGCACAAAGTAAGCCCTTTTCTTACTGTTTGCAAGTCATCTAATTATGTGTTGTTTTATACTTTAATTTATTGATTAAGTTTAACCCCAACCCAACATCAAACTCATTTTTAACACCAAATTTGGTGTAAAATTACTAAATCTTTGATTTATTAAAACAATTTGTCTCTGGCCTAGTTATTAGCACAACAGAATGAGCAAACTAAAGATGACAAGTTGCTGTGGGAACTACTTAAAATGAAACAAAGATGCCAACAACCCAAGAGTCCATTTGGACCACAAGAGCTTCATCCTGTTGGAAGCAGTACCAAACACCACCATAAGTCAACAATGGTCAACCCATCCATCACATCCACATCTACACAATCTTACACTAAATCAAAAGTCCTCCCAATCTCATTGGGATTGGGTCTGGGTGCATCGCCTTCAGTAACAACAAAACAAGCCTGGTCATGCAAACATGTTGCTCACTGAATTTGCACATAAAAAAGGTTAACACTCTTTCCTTATTATGTCCCAACATCGTTATGAATAGAGTAATTGTGAATAAATGAATCATATTTTTTTCCCTTACAAACTATCTTCAAATAGAACAAACTTTCAACATTTATGATCAAAGACTGAAATAAATAAATTGTTAAGTGTGGCTTGACTTGTTTGGCGACCTCTTCACCCGACCCCACACATGGAAATCAAAAAAGAAAACAAAAAGAAAACGTGTTTTTTCTAGGAAGGAAAAAAGGGGATAAATTTATTTATTTATTTTTCTTTCGAATCTTTTCCCAATTTGGAAAGAAAAATTCTAAAATTTGATAATCATAAAAATGTCCAAATTTCATCCTAATTTACGGGCTTGATACAATTATCAAATTTTTATATAAAAACACATTATAAAATTGTCGGCTTTTCTTTCATATAACATAAAACGATCGATTTTCTTTTTCAGTCATTTTACCTCGTGAACACATAACTTTCATTTTCTTTTCTCCCCTTCTCTCATGGAAAACTTTGAAACATAATGTTGGTGTGCGACCTTAGTTCAATTCAAGGCATGTTGATTAGTGTTTTGCTTCCTCATGTTTTGGTAAAAATCATTCTTAACTTTTGAAGTTATTAATATTTTGTAGAGGTAACAAAACAGTTTAATTGGGTTATTGAGTAGATGTGGTAAAATAGGCGGGTTAGATAACAAGTAAATTTTTTTGTACAAGCTTAAAGGGGGTTGACTAGCTCATAAATATGTTGTGTCTATTTTGTTGAAAGATTGTGTTTTAAATATTTAAAAAAGTATATTATCATTAAGGGAAAATGACTTAAAAAGGTAATGAAGTTTCAAAAATGTACAAAAAAGACCATTGTTTTTTTTAGTACACAAAATACCATTAAAGTATATTTTTTATACACAAAATACCAATGAAGTACACATGTGTTCAAATAATGTCGTGTGGGTAACAGAAAAATGTCTTAAAAAGGTAACAAAGTTTCAAAATTGTTCAAAAAATACCATTATTTTTTTAGTATAAAAAATACCATTAAAATTTCCAAAATGTTCAAAAAAAACCATTGTTGTTTTTTCAGAGCACCTAACTTCGTTGTTTCCGGATTATATAGAACACAGTCATCGGAGATTAGTCACCGTCGTACCAGTTCACACCAGTTGTGTACTATCTTTCATCCTATCACTCGATCAGTTTGTATCTAAATCCATATTTAGGGATTCTCATGACATAGCGTCACACTCGTTTCTCCTTTGTGTCTCTCTTGTGTCACAACACTAATGAACGGCTAACATTGATGTATAATATGTGTATCTATATAACGTATATATGTTTTAGGTTTGAGTCATATAATGTGATCGGGAAGCAAGAATGTTTAACAAATGTTATTACCCACTTACTTCTCTTGTTACCACAAGAACGATCGAGTGAAGGAATGAAAGAGATTTGCACAATTGTTGTGAACTGATATGACGGTTCATGATCTCCGGTAATTGTATTCTACAAAAAGTGTGATATTTTTTAAACATTTTGGAAACTTCGTTACACTTTTAAATCATTTTCCTATTTACCTGAAGTACCTGGTTATCACAATGTTTTAGTTGAACATATGTATACTTCGTTGGTATTCTGTGTACAAATAGTAACATTAATGATATTTTTTGTACTAAAAAAACAACAATGATTTTTTGAACATTTGGAAACCGGGTAACCTACAATAGCCGGTAAAATGGTATTTTGTGTACTAAAAAAAACAATGGTCTTTTTATATATTTTTGAAACTTCGTTACCTTTTTAAGTCATTTTCCCTATATTAATAATCTATTTTTTTGAATAACAATAGTTTAAGGGTTGTAGTTGTTAGAAATATACATCAGGCCATCAGTGACGACTTTTGGCCCATTTAACTTATATTTGTTCTTAGTCTTTTTTTAGAAAAAAAATTCTACCAGTTGACTTTGGATTAGAAAATTTTCCAAATCAACTCGTAGGTAAGTAAATGATATTTTTTAGAAAAATATCGAACCGAAGAACCAGGTTTGTCAAAACAAGTTTGTAGGGTTGAGTTGACTGGTCAACTGTTTTTTATCTAACTTTCTAATATATAAATAATTAACAAAGTAAATATGGTTATGAAATGATTTAGAAGACCGTAAAGCTTTTAAATACATTTTTGGTGACGCAAGAGATGCTTGATCCATTTGATATAATATTAGTTTTAGTTGGGTTATTTTTTACTTACGAACCATATCGATCTATTTTTTTAACAAATACGTCAACATTATACATGATGTTTAATATTGTGTATCTGGCATGTCTTAACTCATAAGTCATGCCACTCAAATTTTTTACAAATCGAAACCACAACAGATATGGTTCTCTAGTCCTACGTTATTTCAAAATTTTGAGGGAATCTAATGTGTAATACTTGATACATTGATTTAAAATGTCTAAGCGTTGGAATCATAAGTATTATTAATTGTAAAATGATTAAAATATATCCAGTAACATTTACTTTTTGGACACGTATTTTCCACTCATCAGTTAAAAATTTGTGGTTGGAAGAAGGACTGGTTGTAATTGGTTAAGTACCCAATTGACCGCAATTTTTTATGTATTTCTAATTTCAGTAGCCAAATACCACAATTCACCAACATGGGAATTGTTATTTCCATGTTTGAAATTGAAACAATTAGATAATTAATTGTTTAAATATTTCAAAAGTTCTCATTGTTTATAATGTTTAATAAATAAAATGATAAAAGAATATTGACATATATGTTGTCTAAGTATTCAATATAAACAACGCTGAATTTTTTTTATAGATTGTAAAATTAACCTTTTATAGGTTATTCATTAACAAAAAAAATTATAAAAGTTATTCATATATAATTCCAAGAATTGTCATTTTTCTGAATATTATTATTAACAATGAAATGAAAGAACAAAGTTTTTAAATTGGAGTAACTTATATTTGTTTTAAAAGTGAACTAACCCAAAAAATATATTTTCAATAGCCAAATACCACAATTCACCAACAATATTTGCACTATTTCATATAAAAGTGTTATAATACGTATTTCCCCATAAACCGAATTGTAAAGTTAACATATATAATCACTTGTGAAGCATTATTGTGATTTCAAGACATAATAACCACATCCTTGGTTTCAATAACAATATCTTCAGTGCTAAATAGTAATACCACAATTCACCAATAAAAGGATAATTTGTGATATGAAAAGAAAACTTTATATGTTTACAAGTGAAATAACCAGAAAAAAAAAGGAAGAAACAAATGTAGGGTTGTGTATGTCCACCATCATTATATTATAAGTCTAGAATTTGGAATAGACACGACACGTGATGATACATGAAAATTTAGAAATACAATTTTTTTTTTGTTATTGTAAACAGCTCTTCCTAACATTATTATTATTATTATTTTTAATCGAAATATAAAGATATTACATATTCAAAACAATTTCTTGAAAAAGTAAAACAAAAATTGTTGCCGACACCGAGCCAAACATCAAAACTACTGTTAGGTTGAAGGGAGTGGTGCCGATCAAACCGAACTCCACTTCAACTCCAGCAAAGAAGAAATGAGGAAATAATGAAGGAAGAAGAAAGAATTGTATGGGGGAGAATTTTCTGGGATAATTTTAGTTCTAGGGGTATTTTAGGGAACATTCCTTTTATGTAATTTTTGTGTTAAAGTAGGAGTCTAGTTTTATTAGTATAAATAAGATTAATGTTTAGGATGTTTAAGTTAAAACTTTTTCCACAATAAAGTTCACCAAGTAATTCCTCGTTCTTGTTTTTTCTTTTTCTCTGTTCAGTTCATACGTTGGGCACAAATGTAATATCATGTGGTATACCTACACTTGGTATTAGAGCCTAGGGCTCGTGAAGGCGTAGGGCGGCCGGTTTGAGAGCCGTTTTCAAGAAAACTGTAGCCTTTCGTTGTGGGGCAAACGCAGCGGGAACCGAGTTCGGTTTAAGGAGGTGTGGATTGTTTTTGAGCGCGAGTTGAAGCATCTCAACAATAGCCCCAATTTTTCTTGATCGGGCTTGTTCTAAGGTAGAGAGAGACTAACCGGAGGCGCGGAGATGGTAAAGGTGATCGTGATCTTGTCTTGTTGTTCGGTGGAAAAGTGCTCTCGGAACAAGTTTGATTAGGTTGGGGTTGTCAAAAGGAAGATGGTAAAGGTGATCGTGACCTTGTCTTGTTGTTCGGTGGAAAAGTGCTCTCGGAACAAATTTGATTAGGTTGGGGTTGTCAAAAGGAGAATAAGATGTTGTTGGTTAAAGAAGGAGGTTCGATGACGTTTCAAGTTCCGGTTTTGACTCTAACGAATTATCTGGTATGGGGAATCAAAGTCAAGTTGATTATGTATGCACACAACATATGCGAGAAGGATGAATTGAGGGCGTTCGGTGGAAGAATCTCTTGGAATATGATGGATCAACAAAGGTATGGCTGTCAAGACAAGAAAGGAATGAAAAAACAATGCGGTGTGAACATTATGGCGGTGGAAGTTCAAATCGGATGGCTTTGGATCTGGCCGGGGAGAGGTTGTGAATCCAGGAAGAGTCAAGATGGTAATGAACGTGCCCAACGGGATGCCATGGTACATGTTACGTGTGTTGTGGACAATCAAAAGGTATGGAGGACTTTGGACGTGACCGAGGTGGAGGTCGGGTGTCCAGGAAACGTTGAGAATCGCGGTGGTTGCTGACTTGGTAAAACAAGTTGCTGAAACAAGGTACAACAAGATTGTGTGTGGTTCGGTGATGATGATAGCAGGTGGCTCTCGGTATTCAAATGTTGAACATGGTGTTGCTTAAAGAAATTGTTATCAACGGGCTTTGCAGGTGAAGCAGCCGATAGGTCGACGGTGAACAAAGGTTGTGAATGTGGTGGTGTTCGTCGGTGGTTAATGGCGGAGAAACACAATTGTAAGTGATAGGCGT